GACTCCTAGCCATCAGCCCAAGCCCCCATCCCCAGTGATGAGGAAACTGGTCCAGGACTGTCTGCAAATGTGGTCCCCCTTGCCCACCTGCCCCCATTAGCAGCTCTGCCCTCACCACCCCCACCTCACTCCAGCAAGGCCTCTGTGATGGTGAGCGGGGGCATAAGAGCTCCTTTCTCTTATTATTTAAGAAATACTTCAGGAGCACCATTACATTACTGCCAAGTGTTGTTCTATATATAATTCAGATGAAAATTTGGGGGAGGACCTGACATGATAATCAAAAAAGCAAAGAGGAGCTTCCTGGAATATGCTTTGAAGATAGATAAGTCAGAAGGGAACAGAAAGGGAGACGGTGGATGTGATTTTAAATAGGGTGATCAGGGAAGGCCACGTCTTCAGCCAGGACTTGAAGAAGGTAAGGGAATGAGCCCTTCCGTACTGACATGTGGGAGAAGAATCCCAGACAGAGGGAACAGCTGTTGCAAAGGCCCTGAGGCAGAAACATGCCTGGAGGGGAGGAGGGGTAGCGGGGGGGGGGGGGGGGCAGGGAATGGTGGTACCTGAACCTCCCCCTGCCCCACCCCTAGCTTTCCTAGTCCCTAAGATGGAGACTCACACAGGTGGCCACAGGGCCAGATCCAACCTTGGACACATCTCATCTGGTCCACAAAGTGTTAGGAAATTAAAAGTCCGTTACCAACATTTAAAAATCAGGAGATTTCATCATAAAAATCAACCTTTCCAGCTTCTCTTGGTGGGTGATGACATTGAGCGGTACAGCGTGTGGATCTCAAGGGGCCTGTTAACCTTAAGTCGCCTTGTGTGGCACCTCATGTGGCACCTGGAAGCCAGGCAGACAGCGACATGCCCACAGCCACACCCCCAAAGTGTCAAGACAGGACCTGCCAGCTCCCTCTTTTTTCCCACAGGTGCTGAATTCTGAGGCCACAGGGAGCGGCCCCACAGAGCCGCAGGCGGCCTCATTTGTCTGCCCATGTGTATCTCTGTCCCCGTCTTGCCCAGGAAGCAGGAGCTTGGAGCATCACTGTGATCACACCTTCCCAGCCCCCCAGCCCAGCCTCTCAGCCTCTACCTAGGAAGGTGAGGCCCCAGCCCCACCAGGACCCCTCTCATGGGTCGGGGTGCTTCCAGCTCCCACACCCCAGGCTGCCCCATTTAAGGCCTATGAATTTGCCAGGATCCTGAAGAAATACAGCCTTAAGAGAAGAGCAATAAAATGACTGAGCCCTGACTAGCAAACGCAAACGGCAAAAGCCCAATTAATAAAACTTTGAACTGGTGACTACAAAACACCCCACAGCCTTGATTTTGTACTTGAATTCGGCATTCCTGAAAACTTGGTGATGTTCGGAAACTATCTGTAGGTTTGGTTTTTCTCATTTCGCAAGAATTCCCAGGATACTGAGAAATCACAGCTAATCTCCACGTCAGCAAATGATTTCGGGCTTCCCTGGTGGCGCAGTGATTAAGAATCTGCCTGCCAGTGCAGGGAACACGGGTTCGAGCCCTGGTCCGGGAAGATCCCACATGCTGCGGAGCAGCTAAGGCCGTGCGCCACAACTACTGAGGCTGTGTTCTAGAGTCCGCAAGCCACAACTGCTGAGCCCGTGAGCCACAACTACTGAAGCCCGCGCGCCTAGAGCCCGTGCTCCGCAACAAGAGAAGACACCATAATGAGAAGCCCGTGCACCGCAACGAAAAGTAGCCCCCGCTCGCCGCAACTAGAGAAAGCCTGCGTGCAGCAACAAAGACTCAACGCAGCCATAAATTAATTAATTAATTAAAAAAAAACCCAAAACAAAAAACAGATAAAAAACTCTAAATGATTTCAAAAGCAAAATGAAGGGGAAACATTCCAAAAGGCTTTATTATCTATATAACATGATAATATATAACACATATATTTGTATATAAACATAAACACACAACACATAGACATATATAAATAAGTGGACACATGTTGAATATGACTGAAGTCAAGCGGGCCTAGAAGACTCATCCCAAAAGAGATTCAACCCCCAATAGGATGCAAGCGGCTGCATGCACTCCACTCCCTGCAGACCTTCCCCAGGGTCTCAGGGTTCACACATGTCCCCATCCACACGGGAGTCTCAAGTCCTGCCCTAAGCCCCAGCCCCTGCCCAACACCCACTTGGATGGGGCACATTCTGTTCCACCCTGGGTTAGGTATAGGCTTATAAACATCCAAACGCAAGACCATATGATTAAAACTTCAGGGAATGAAGTTTGCAGAAGGCTCTAATTGGTGGTCCCCCCAGGCTGAAACCAGCCCTTAGATTTGTTTCGTTTGACCTGCATAATTTTTTAAAAATCTGAGCCTTTTTTTGTGTTTTGGTCGCACCATGCGGCTTATGGGATCTTAATTCCCAGCCAGGTATTGAACCTCGGCCACAGAAGTAAAAGTGCCGAGTCCTAAACACTGGACCACCAGGGTATTATTCCCTGAGCCAACTTTTAATACTGGGAACTCTACATAAAGGTTCAGGTTCCTGACATCTTTTGAAAGTATAGAAGCAATTGGCTAGAACTGTGTAGAGGTTATCCTTGAAATTCTTTTAATTAAACTTTTTTTCAAAGTAGTACACTTGCAGGATTTAAAATTCAGAAGGTAGAAGAAGGTGCATGAGCTTAAGTGAGTCTCCCTTCCCAGCCATCTCCCAGCCTCTCGGTCTTCCTCTTCAGAAGCAGCCATGGATGCCAATCTCCAAAGATATTTCATTCATTTATAAGTATGTGAATATACATTATTTTCTCCCTTACAAATGGTAGCATGTGTCTCTACATCTTGCTTTTTTTCCCATAGCAAGATGTCTGGGAGGTACTTCTGTATCTGTCCACATGAGCTTGAGCCAGTGATTTTTGTGGCTGCCCTTTATTCATTTAAATTTATTTTATTTTATTTTTATTTTTGGCTGCACTGGGTCTTCGTTGCTGTGTGCAGGCTTTCTCTAGTTGCAGAGAGTGGGGGCTACTCTTCGTTGCGGTGCGTGGGCTTCTTATTGTGGTGGCTTCTTTTGTTGCAGAGCACGGGCTCTAGGTGCACGGGCTTCAGTAGTTGTGGCATGCAGGCTCAGTAGTTGCAGCTCGCGGGCTCTAGAGCTGAGGCTCAGTAGTTGTGGCGTATGGGCTTAGTTGCTCGGCCGCATGTGAGATCTTGCTGGACCAGGGCTCGAACCCGGGTCCCCTGCATTGGCAGGCGGATTCTTAACCACTGCGCCACCAGGGAAGTCCTGGTGGCTGCCCTATAGACAGGACAATAGTTCTGTTTGCCCAGCTGCCACCGTACCTTATAGTCTCATGCCTGTCCTGCTTCACTCATTCATGATTCTTGCCTGGCCCCACTGGCATCTGAGTGTGCAGACTCCGGCACAGGTGAGGGATGGAGCATCCCTCCTAGCCACCGAGCACTCGCCCCTTCTCTGTCTCGGATGCATGCAGTTCCTGGACTTCCCAGCAGAGGGAGACACCACCCCACCCCCAAGACCACCAGAAGGGCCTTCAAAGGAACACTGCAATCTTGAAATGTCTGGGCAAGAGATGTTATCTGACCGGACACAAAGACCCCCTTAGCTGGACTGGGATCCGCCCCCACCATGCCTCCCCTTCTCTGTTTCTATCTCCCTCTGAACCTCCTGCTTCGACTGAACCCCACCCTGACTGAGCCCCACTCTTTGCAGGGACTGGCCCCTCCTTGGTGGGAGTTGTAGGGAGACCCTGTCCTAGTCTAGGGCCTGGGATTGAGAAATTGCCCAAGGGGCCCACATAAAGAAAGCGTGTAGCTGGGCGGGCGTTCCTTGCCCCACCCTTCCCCCTTCCTGCTGAGAAGTGGGGAGGGGTCCTTTCTCCCTGCCCCCAGCAGAGCCTTGACCTCAAAACCCCCTCTCCTTGTCCTGCACTCCACACTCCCCATGGTACCCTCTCCCTGGCCTGGCTCCTGCACCCTCCTCCCCACCCCCGCAATGGTGTTGGGGGTCGCCTGGAGTCCAGCTGGTGGCCAGTGCAGAGCCACCCTAGGAAGGCCCTGCCCCTCCCCGTGACCCCAATCCTCCGCCAGCCACTCAAAGGCGCCTTGTTCTCCATCCAGCCCCCAGACAAAAGTCCCTCTGTCTAAAAAGGCGGAATTGGGGGGAGGGGGCACCCCAACGGGGAACAAGTGGGGACCTGCACAGACCCCAGCTGGAAGGAATGCCATGAGGAGGAGGGACAAGAGAGGGAGGAGGGAGGGGAAGGGAGCCTTGCACAGTGCAATGGCCTTATCCGGGGTGAGAGGCAGCCCCCGTCCCAACACCCACTGCGGAGACATCTGGCTCCCAGCACCGTTGGGAAGAACCCAGGCTGGGAAGGTCTGCCTGGTGCTGGGAACCAGGTCCCAGTCTCCCTAGGCCATGATGGGCACGACGGGGGAGAGGTCATGGTCTACGGCCCAACAGCTCACCGCCCCCTCACACACCCCCTCCCCCCACCCCGTGCATCCCGTCCCCACCTCATGACCTTGGTCCTATCAGCATCTTCTGCTGACCCTCAAACGGTGTCAACGGCAACAAGCAGCCCGGAGGAGGAGGACTTTAGATCTCCCGCAATGGCCACCCATCCCCCCTCCAAGGACAGCACACAATCTAAGTAAAAGAGATTAGGTTATTACAAACAAAGCACGGCCTTCCCCCCACCGCCCCGCCAGGCAGAAGCTCTGCCGTTAAAGACCTGAGCCCCTCCTCCTTCCAGGTCCTTTTCTGAGGGGCAGGTGACTGGAGAAAGCCACCTCCCTGGATGTGAGGGGCAGAGTTCCAGCCCTCATCGTATTCTCCTTCTGCCTCGCCTAAGGCTGCTGTGTGTGACCCTAGAGACCCCAGGGAGCTCCCTGCCACTAGTGGTTGGGGGTTGGAACTGTCTCTTTAAGAGCAGGTGTGAGATGAGAGAGCCCCTGAGCTTTAGGGAGTCAGACTAGTTCTCTACCTGCCCAGGTTTGCTTAGGGCGTGGAGGCTGCGGATAAAGGCAGGACCCAGGCTAAGCAGTCCCGCTCTCTCCCGGAACCTGAACCTCCACGCAGCAGCCTGTGGAGCACGCAGGTGAGAGGCTGGGGCCCCCTCCCTCCAACCCCTCCTTGGCTTTGCCCCTCCCTCCACTGCTTTCTGCTAAAGACCCCTAGAACCTTCCCTCTTCAAGGTCCTTTGCTGGGGGAGCAGATTAGAGAAAGCCCCCCTCCCCATCATTCACCACACAGGAGGCCAGGTGAGCCAGCTGGGGCGAGGGTAAGGCCCACAGATGGGACTGGGGTGTCTGTTAGACTGGTGGGTCTGGGTAGATCGGGGGTTCTGAGTAGAGCAGAAGTATCTGGATCGGGAGGATCAGACTGGCTGGATGGGTGGATGACTAGGTGGGCTCAGGGTGTCCGCATACTGAGAATGTGTGGGTCCTGGAGACCTCTAGGGGAAGGGGCTGGCGGCTTCCCAGGGAAGCTGTAACATGGGGAGGTGGCGCGGAGACTTCAGGGACACGAGGGAGTCATTTTGCTCAGGCCTGAAGGGCCTGGCCACCATCATGGAGAAACAGAACAATAGTAGGGGGTGGACGGCGGAAAGTCCTCACACCAGCACTGGGATCTCTGGGGCCAGGAAAGAGCAGAGAGGGGTGGGCGCAGCCTCCGTCTGCAGGCTGCCTTTCTCTCCAAGGCTTCACACCGACTGCAGTCAGTTCTGGAGCTGCCCTGGGGCCTCTTCCAATAACAGCCTGAACAGGGCAGGAGAGAGCAGATGCCCGGATGCCAGCTCCCAGCAGCCCACACCATGGGACAGTAGGGTGGAAATGTCATGCAGGGGCTGGGGTACGGCCGAGACCACCCATCAGTGCCCCTTGTGCTGGGGATGCTGGGAGATGCCTGGGGAGGGGCTGTATGGGGGTGAATGGAGCCCTCACCGGCCAGGGAGGCTTGGAGGCTCCCATGGAAAGAGGCTTAAGCGCTGAGACTGAGTCGCAGGTGACAGTATAGAGCATTAAGCTGAATTCGCAGGGGTGACAGGGTTGCGACAGCAACGTGAGCTAATCATAGTGCCAACTTCATCAAGCTGTGAAGATTACACGTATGAACAAGCGCAAAGAGCTGAGAGCAGTGTCTGGTGTGGGGTAAACGTTCAATCAGCACCTGCTCTTATTACTAGTATTAGTGTGATCGTGGGGTGACAAAGCCTCACGTGTTCGCTTTAGACTACAGGTGGTCCTTCTACAGACCTGTGCTGGGAGCCACTAGGCTGTCCTGCTCACATACGCATTCCAACTCTCCCCGCACCACCCCAAATTTGGGGGGGCCGTCTTAAACGCCTTAGTAATGTTCCCCAAAGCTACAGGCCCTTTTCCTGCCTGAATGCTCAAAGAAATGAATGCTCAAATTAAAACTGTGAGTCTGGTATATGGGATGAACTGGGAAGCTAAGAAGGTTCCCAGGAAAGAAATTCAGGGAGGGGGTTACATAGAGGCCAGAGAGAGAGAGACACGGGACGGGACGTGCTCTCCAGCTGCGGACAAGGAGACAGAGCAGGCAATGTCAATGGGCTTTTTACCAGGCTTAGGGAGGGTATGTGTTTTGCCGTCTGTGAAATGGGGTGTATAACCAATGGCCTCCGGGATTCTTGGGGGATTACATGAGTGAAAACCCAGCAAGGTCATTTGGCGGTGCCCAGCACAGAGTGGATCTAAGTGTTAGCTCTTGCTATCAAGATTGGGACAATGTATGCTGTGGCAGTGGGGCAGGGGCGGGAGAGGGGACAGGGGGACGCACAGGGGGACTGATACTGGACCAAGAAGGGGGTGGCGGAGTGTTCTTTGTGCCACGCAGGCCTACCTGGGGAAAGAGGAGTTGTTTGCTGCCAGAGGAGCTTGGTAGGGGTAGAGGCAGGACCAAGGACTGGGTGGGATGGGCAGGGGTGGGGCAGAAGCAGGACGGTGGGGTGCGAGGAGGGTGGGGCAGAAGATGAGGCTGGGGCTGCCCTCCCCCTCCCCCTCCCCCCTCCCCCATCCTCTCTGAGTTCTCTCCTCCTCACATCCTGCCCAGAGCAACAAGAGGAGCCAGCTCAGTCCCCAGCCCTGGCCCAGCCCAAGTTCTGCGAAGTCTGGGCAGGGCGGGCAGGCTCCGAGCTGTCTATGGGAGACACTCCCAGGAACAAGGCCTCCTGCCATCTGGCTCCCAACACCCCATTTCCCAAAACACCCCAAGGGCCTGAGAGAGTCCTGAGTTAGGAACAGCCTCCGCAGAGCCAGGTCTGGTTTAAATCCCGCTTCCTGGCAAGGTGACCTTGAGCACCCACTTTCACCTCTGGAGCCTCAGTTTCCACATCTGTAAGATGGGGATAACAGCTGGCGGCACCTTCCTCATTTGGTTGCCAGGGCAATTCACTTAAAGCCTCAAGTCCACGTCCAGTGAGTTATTATTGCTGCTCCCCCTGTAGGCCTTCATTCTCACCCAGCCCCCACTGCACTTTCCGGCTCCTTCTTATCTCTCAGCCCAGCGGAGTTTCAAGGCCAGGCTTTCTGCCCTGGGGTGAGCTGTGTTCCCTGGATAAGGAGCACAGTAGCAGGGGATTGGGAACCAGAGGCATCCCGGTGGCCCTGCTAAAGCTGGACCTCCCCCCTAGATCCCTCCAGGCCAGCTCTCCGACATGCAAGAGGTGGCCCTGAGCCTGCTCGTCCTCCTGGCAGGTGAGTGCCCGTTCCTGGACTGCCTTTCCCCTGACCCCCTCAGCTGGGTGGTGACCACGCTTGTGTGTGGCTCTCTCGTGCTTTCTGCCTCCCCTGTGGGGTGGTGAGTCTCAGGACAGCATCTCCTGGAAGGTGGGAAGTGCCACACTGGTGATTTCAAGGAACACATAAAGGAGGACCTCTTACAGCAGAGGTTCACACAGCTCGTCATGCATGGTCTTGATGTCTCCTTGGTGATATCGAGAAGGCTCAGCTCTGGGGTACTGTGTCTTTAACACTTCTTAACACTTGATTATGAGAGGTAAGAGTTTCAAGGTTATGTGGCAAGTTACCAAAGCCCCTTGTGCCTCAGTTTCCCCATCTGGACAATAGTAGCACCTACTTATAGAGTCACTGTGAGGATTAAACGAGTTACTATTTGCAAAGCACTTAGAAGAGTGCCTGGGACAGAGTAAGCACCATGTGTTTGTGCTTTAAATATAATTTAAAAATATGAACCTCCCTTTAACAAAGAAAGAACAGAGCTTAGGCCCAGAGCTAAGGCAGCCCACTGCTTCTAGCCAGAATTCAAACCTAGTCCTTTGCTTTCATTGTACCTGTTTTTTTTTTTTTTTTTTTTTTTTTGGTACGCGGGCCTCTCACTGTTGTGGCCTCTCCCGTTGCGGAGCACAGGCTCCGGACGTGGAGGCTCGGCGGCCATGGCTCACGGGCTCAGCCGCTCTGCGGCATGTGGGATCTTCCTGGACCGGGGCACGAACCCGTGTCCCCTGCATCGGCAGGCGGACTCTCAACCACTGCGCCACAGGGAAGCCCTCATTGTATCTGTTTTTATCAGTTACATTGGGCAAGACTGCCATTCCATTCAGGGTAGTGATGTAAAGTTGCATTTTTAAATAAAGCATATTAAGTTTATAATTAGTAAGTCACTTTAAGGGGAGTGGTGAGGGATGGGTGGGATGTGGACGTGGCAGAACCAGGAGATGAGGGCTGAGAATGCCTGGGAGCTGAAGCCACCTGTCATCTTGACAAGACCATCGCTCGTTTCTGCGGGGGGTGTGGATTAGCCAGGTGTCTGGAAACATCAGGCCAAAGGCTGGCTAGGTGGCCCAAAGCCACCCAGGTGAAAACCTGTTGCAGGTGTGGGGCTGAGTCGGGGGAAACCCTCATTTCCGAGGTGGAACGTGCAGAGGAGCTAGTTTGGGGTTGGACCCCTGTGCCCGTGGGAGGTGGGGAACTGTCCATCAGGGGACCCTACGCTGAGGCCTGGAGCTCCAACGGCCCTGGCCCCGGCTTTGCCGAGGCCAGCACCCCCATCTCTCTCCTACCTCGCTTCTCCCCTCCAGGCCTGCCTGCCTTGGATGCCAACGACCCGGAAGGTGAGTCAGACCGACTCTTCCACCAGTCCCGCCCCCAAAGTCTCCCCCAGGACCCCTGCATCCCCACTCTTATCCTGGATTCATGTCCTATTTTTCTTTCCTTGCAGATAAAAACAGTCCTTTCTACTACGGTGAGAGCCTGTGCCCCTCCCTTTGCAGCCCCACTCACCCCTCAGACCGATTTCGTGCCAACGGTCCCACACAGGGTTGAGTGAGGGTCTGATGGGGGTGACCCAGGGGCGAGGATTGGGGCATTGAACAGTAAACACAGGGGATTAAGGCAACCAGGCATGCCAGCCTGGTCCTTAGAACCACCCCCACGTTTTCTTCCACGTCGCCCCATGCTCCCTCCCTCCCCTCCTCAGGCCTCTGCTCAAATGTGCCCCTTCAGCCGGGTCTCCCCTGGCCACTCTCCCTAAAAGAGCTGTCTTCTGACTCTCCGTCCCCTGGCCCTGCTTATATGTCTTCAGACCGCTTCTCTCTACCTAACTCCACGTTAGATCTCTGTCGCTTGCTGTGTAGAGACTGGAAAGTGAGTGCGGGGGCTGGAGGGCTGTCTGTTCTCTCCACTGCTGTATCCCACATCAGGGGTGCCTAATGCGTATCGTCAAGCGGTTGGGGGCTTGGATGAGGAGGGCACGGGCTGGCACCGAGGGCCCCCTCTGGGTTTCTCCTAGACTGGTTCAGGCTCCGTGTCGGCGGGCTCATCTTCGCAGCGGTCTTGTGCGCCGTTGGCATCATCGTCCTCATGAGTGAGTGGAGCAGCTGGCGGGGAAGCGGGCAGCGCAGGGCGGTGGGTGTCCTCCCCTGACATTCCCCTCTCTCCTAACAGGTGGGAAATGCAAATGCAAGTTCAGCCGGAAGCCCCGGTAAGATGGGTTCCAGGCAGTGTGCCTGCCTCATACTGGACAGACACCTTTCAGGGGGAAAGAGCTAAATTTCGCAAAAAAAAAAAAAAAGGCCGGGTTTCTGGGTCTTGCCCTGGAGAATTCCTGTTACTGAGATCTTCCAGGTTTATTCTTCAGAGCCATGAATCCTCAGAGGGCCTCCAATCATGAAATGCTTTGGTCCCTGGGATGGTACAACTTTGTGGGAAAATAGCTAGGAAGATATGTCGGGGCAAGCTGAGAATCCTCTAGCCTTGAGGGAGAGGATGAACGGGGGTGAACAGAGATCTCATCACTTTTCTTTCCCTAGTCACTATCCAGGGGATGCCCCACCTCTCATCACTTCAGGTAAGACAGGGACAGAATGGAGCTGACTGGGACATAGGGTATGAGGTGTGTGTGTTTGTGTGTGTGTGTGTGTGCGCACGTGTGCGTGTGTGCGTGTGTGTGTATGCACCCTGGGGAGAAATAACCTGATCCACTCTCACAGGCTGAGCCTGTCACCTCTCCCAGGCTCTGCCCATAACTGTTGAGGATGGATCAGCGGAAAGAGCACCGAGGGCCACTCTTTCCCCAAGTCCTGGCTCTGCACTGGATCCTAAACTCCAGGATGGAATTCTCAGACCACCTGGCCAGGGCTCCATCTCATCTCTCACTGGAGGGGGTCTTTGTTCAATTTTCACTCTTAAATGATCTTGCCTCATGCCCAAGCAGCCTCGAAACTCCCTATGTGCGCGTTGGGGTTTTGGGGGGCCGGGAGAAGGGGATGTGCATGGGGGCCAGCATGGAAGCTGGCAGCTGAATCTCTCCACTGGGACAAGCCCACAGGCCTGCTTCCTCATGACCTGGTGGGCGGCATAGGGCCTGACCTCTGCCTCCGTGGTCATGGGAGCCACATCTGCCATTTAAAATGCTCTAGTAGCCACATGGGGGACATTCTGAGAGTGAAAGGGAGCTCTAGCCAGACGGAATGCTGGGACCCTCAGGTGGACAGTGGGACCTTCCCAGGAAAACTAGGATGTGGGATCATCCTGTCACAACAGGAGTAGCCAGCTATAATAGTGACTACTGTAATAGTGGGTCTACTACTATAGGTCTACTACTACTACTATAGTAGGGTCACTACTACTATAATAGTGACCCTCTGACTCGCCTCAGACCCCATTTTATTATAAAAGACCCTTCCTAACACTCAAATGTTCCTGTAAGACCTTTAAATTATTCCCCATGATACTCCTAATAATATATAATGGCCACACGGTGTGAGAACTCCAACGAGCCCTAAACTCCCTCGAGACAGTCTCCAATAGCCAATAAGACTTCCAAAATGTCCCCAAGAGCCATAAAAATGCCTAAAATCCTTCAAAACACCCCGCAGTATCTCCTACAATACATAAGACACGAGACCAACAATAAACCCGTGACCTGTCCCCTAATAATGCCCTCATATCCCTTGGACATCCCACTAGGCCCCCCATAATCATGAGCACACACTCCTTAGAAACCTCGCGAAAGCTCAACAAGGGCAGCCAAAATGTACCCTGGGACACCCCCCCACCCCCGCTCCATAATACCGTTCCTGGGACACGAATCCTCCTCCCTCACCCCACCCCCATGCCACAGCAGACACCCTCTCCCAATGACCCCACAACAACCGGTGAGGCGGGTGCACAGCGCGTTTATTGAGCTCGTACACTTTCTGTCCTCGCCCCTTTCACCGACACAGGACGGGTACCTCGGACTCCCGGCAACAATTCTCAATTTCCCGCCTATTCCCTGCGCACGCGCAACAGGGAAGACACGCTGGGTTTCCGCCTCGGCAGCAGGCATGCGCACAAGCAGCAGAGGAAGTTAGCAAGCCCGGCAGGGAAAACCGCCCAGCTACTGATGACGTCATGGAGGCGGGCACTAAAAGCGATTGGCTGGATTGAGTTTAGAAGGAAAAGGAAAGCTATCCTTTCCGTAGTACTTTTACAGGGAATAGGAGGGTCGAGAGTGGGTTGAGCGGGGCGCTTCCAGACCTCATGGAGCTCTGCACATTACCCCCCGCCCCCCATGATTTCTGTACTGTCTCCGTGTGGCGGTGCCCGAGCCTGAGCCCCCAAGTCATCCTTGGAGGGGGAGGGGTCATCTACCCCCAGCCAAGATGTTGCTTAAGACTGGACAAGCAGCTCTTGCCTTGAACTTGGCCTGTGGTCAGTATCTCACAGGACCAGCAGTCACCTCTGAGTAGGACCAGGAGTCTAGGCAATGGGGCATCCAGAGGCCCAGGACTCCCCATGCCAGCCCTCTGCCAGCCATGTCCAGGGGCCCTTCCAGTCTCAGGCACTGAGGTCTAACTCGTGATGCTGGTAGATCTGTGTGGGGCCCTTGAAGCAAGCAGCGAAGAGGAAGCGTCTGCCGGCCATGGTGATATGGGCAAAGGCCCGGGGGGCCACCAAGGCTGGGGGCCCCAGCTCCTGCAGTGGCTCCAGGAGCCCCCTGTCAGGCTCAAGGCGGAAGACCTGGCTGAAGGCGAAGTCGCTGCCCAGGATAGCCAGCTGGTCCCTGGCGATGAGCAGTGGCTGGAAGACGTGGGCACCGCGAGAGGGAAGCTGCTGCAGCAGGCGAAACATGGAACCATCCCAGCGCATGACCTGCGGAGGGTGGCCGCTCATTAGGGCTGGGGTCCAAGAGGGCCAGGCCTGCCCGTCAGTGGTCCTCTAGGCTTTGGAGGACTTGGAACAGCTTGGGAACAGAGGCCTGTAGGTCCCCAGACTCCCACAGCTTTCTTATCTTCATAAATGTCACCACCCAGCTGCTCAGGCCACCGACTTGGCGTCATTCTGAGCCCTTCTCTCTCCCTCACACCCCACATAGAATCAGTCAGCCCTGGAATCTGTCAGTTTCACCTACCATCGTATTTATGTCTCTCATTTATTCTGGCTGCACTCCAGCCCAGCCACAGTCACCTCCCTCCTGGACCATCACACAGCCTCCTTCCTGGTCTTCCTGATCTCCCTGCTCCTGTCCCTGTGCCCACAGTCTGCTCCCCATGCAGACACCCTGTGAACACCTGCGTCAGATCAGTGCCTTTTAGGCCCAGAGCCCTCCCCCTGGCTGTAACCCACTCCAGAGAGAGAGTGCTGGAGGGGGTGGGCCGTCAGCCCTGGGGCTTCAGGGTGCGGTGGTTGTGATTAAATGTAGGTGCTGGGGTGTGTCGGAGTTTGGCGGTAGAATCTCGGGGCCGGTGTCAGTGTTGGGCGGTGGGGAGTGGTTTAGGGTCAGCCAGCCTCGAGGGGTCACAGTCTTGGAGTCAGTGTTGGGGCGGGGTCAGAGCTCAAAGATCAGCACGTTAGGAAGCTCAGCCCGTGAGGCGGGTCAGAGTTCAGAGGCCAGTGCGCAAGGTGGGGTCAGTGGTGAAAGGCCGGCCCTGAGTGGGAGTCTGCTGATGCAGGTCAGGCCCGGCCTGTGCCTGCCCCACGGGACTGGGCTCAGCCTCACCATGGAGTCCCCGATGTAGCGTGTCAGGTACAGGAACACATCTCCGCTGGCCTGGAAGTGGCGTGTGGCATAGACGTCCTCGGCCTCGGGGATGTCCGTGCGCCTCTCGAAGCGGCCCCCAAACCAGTGGAAGAGCACGGGCCGCTGCGAGGCGGAGGCTAGCAGCAGGTGGGGCCGGCCGTCCAGCTCGAGGGCCTCGGCATCCGTGTCCCGGTGCCAGGCGTGCAGGCTCTGGCGCGGGTAGAAGCCGGGCCCGTCGCGGCACAGCAGCGTGGTGCTGCCCGCCTTGGACGCGTCGGCCACCACGAAGCAGGGCTGCCCGTCCAGCCACAGGAGCTCGGCATCATTGGGCCGCAGCAGCCGCCGTGGAGCCAGGGCCTGCAGCGGGGCCAGGCGCAGGTCGGGGCCGGGCCGGGCCCACAGCTGCGAGCCTCCCCACAGGCGGGCGGCCAGCACAAAGAGGCGCGGGCCCAGCACCAGCGGCTTGCAGGACACCACCGAGGGTGCTGTGGGGAGGCGGGGAGCAGGGCGCCTGTCAGATGAGCTGGGCAGGCTACCTGGCAGGCGGGAGGATGGGAGTGGGCTTACCAGACAGCTCTTCCTCCTGCCGGAAGCACTGCAGACTGTAGTCCCAGGTCAGGATCAGGCAGCGGCCGGCAAAGGGCTGTGCCAGGACGACGTGGGGCTCCCCTTGGTAGGAGAAAGCCTCTACGCCCAGCGCTGACTCGCCGACCGTCTGGAACCAGGACAGCTCTGGGAGGGGGTGCAGCGGGGAGGGGAGAGAGTCAGGCAGGCCAGGGGCACCCCACGGGTCCTCATCACTGGGTCCCGCTTTGCACACCTCTGAGGTGAGGACCACCACGGTGTTGACCTCGTAGGGACATACAGTGGGATCTTTTTACCTATGGACGTATTAACTCGCAACCACATGGCGGTACTCTGTTTTCTAAGCTGCGTGGCATCAGCAAATAGTTGCTTAGAAGTAGCCATTTATTCATTCATTTAATTTCACAAGATCCCTATGGGTTACGTTCTGTTATTATATCCACTTTATAGATGAGGAAACTGAGGCTAAGAGGCACAGGCAGCCAGCTGTCCCGCCAAATCCATCCTTCCCATCTTCCATGAGATAGGATAGCAGCTGGGCACAAAGCTGCCCAGCCAGAGGCCACATTAGCCCAGCACTCCCCCTACGCTGCCCCCCAGCCTCTGAGGTCTGCTGTGGCCATGACCAGACCAAGTTCCCAGTGGAACAAAAGCAGAGTGATGGTCGTAGTGCTTGCCTTGCTTGTAGGAAGATGGCTCATCCTGGACTTGGCCCTTTCCCCTTCTGCTTGTGAACTGGCATATGGACGGGGCCACAGCTCGGTTTCAGCCGTGGAAAGCAGGATAACACCCAGGGGCTGCCCCACCCACCTGGACTGCTCACCTCAGACCCTTCTGTTTTCTTTAATTCTTGGTATTTACAGCCTCTTTGTTACAGCACCTTAGCATTTTTGGTAACGGTGCACCCAGATTGCCCAGTGTGGTGGCGGTGGAGCCGGGTGGTGGACTCCAGTTTACAATACTTCACTCTACATGCCAGGCCCTACTTCTAGGGACCAGGGTTGAAGCAATGAACCAAACCACTAAGCATACCCATCCAAAGGGGATCTTTTAAAAATGGCCTTCAAATCATGTCACTCCCTGCTCGAAACCCTCCATGGCTTCCCACAGCCCTCTGGATAAAGTCCACCTTGTTCTCTATGGCTTTCGAAGTCCTGCAGGGTGAGGCCCCTGCACCTTCCAGCTCATCTGTGTCCTTCCCTCCTCACTCCCGTAAACCAGACGTGCCTCCCTTTGATCCCCATTCAGGACAAGCTCTGTGCTGCCTTGGGGGTCCCTGCGCATGCGGGCTCCTTCCTCTGTACTCCACTTAGCTACATCCACATCTAGTGCTACCTCTTCAGAGAAGCCTTCTCCGATGCCCCAGGTAAGGCAGGACCACCGCCTAAACTCTCCCATCACCCCCTGTGTTTATCACAATGTGTACCATACACTTATTGGCGCAACGTTTTATTGGATGTCTGTCTCCCCACCCCCAGGACTGTGACCCCATGAGGCCAAGGCCAGGGCCCAGGGTTATCTTGGTCACCACAGTGTGCCCATCGCCTCTCACAGGGATGGGCACCGAGTGGGCCTCAGGGACTGTGTGTTGACTAATGGAACACAGAGTGACTAAGTTAAA